GTTTGTCATCTTACTTTTTAGCACTCTTTCAAATACTTGTATGATATGCAGGCGATGAGTCACAATAACGTGGCTGAAGTATGTTGACCAGACCACACACTAAAAATTGAAGGGACGACGACGTTTCGGTCCGTCCTGGACCATTCTCAAGTCGATTGTGATGAGGACACAATGTATGATATATGTACTCTCGATCTATAATTTTTTGTGTCTGCTATATTACCTCCTTTATGAGTGGTTTGATCTACGCTGTGTTAAGTATATCGTTTTTAACACCGGTATCTAGGTTCCGTCTCCAGATAATGTTAATGGTCTGTGATAGTGTTTTTTTTAGGTGTTGGGAGGCAAGTCTTGATGAGTATGGACTTCCAGGAATCAGAGCCTGATATAGAGTGCATGAGTCTATGGCTGTTTCAAAGTCCAGCGAAGGTTATGGTGACATCTGAGATATAAACTCGAGATTGGGGTCACGTTCTTGAAAAATTCATTTGAGTTGTCAACGTCAAACTGTTTTTTTTACTGGTGTTTACTGAAAGCAAAGTCCTTCTGTATCCTCAGTGTTTCACTTATTTCTTTGTTGTGATCTGTGAACGTTTCAACCGAAATGTTGTCACAGAGATCCGATTCCTTGCCTTCACTGCCTAGTCTGGTCATAACGATTTCAATGCCATGCAGCTGGGTCTAGCCCTGGCACTTTACCTCATACTGAAAACCCTTCCTCTCACCCCCACTAATTCTTCCCCTATCCCCACTTCCACGCTCACCCTACAGGGTATCTTGACCTATATTTAAATGAATGAATGAATGAACGTTTCATCCTCCATGCCCAGCGGCCCGGTACCAGATGTAGCTTTACTTCTCGACTTCACAAAGAAGAAGAATTATGGTTTCCTTCGAATTTCACTGATGGTCTTTTGCTCTCTCTGCGGCTCCTGGATTTTGTATTATTCTTGGAGGTTTAGCTCAGTCGTTTCCACTTATTTATATATTCTAACCTGTCGTTCTTATGATATAGTTTTATATATATATATGATATAGGTTTATTATTTTTTTTTCACCTTTGGAGAGAACGCCAGTCTCGTCCATTCTGTAACTTTTTCTCTTTTTTCTTATTGGACTTGAACGTATTTCTATTGCCACTTTGTCTATGTTCTTAAGGCACTGGTTTAGGTTTGCATCATCTCGCAGTTCTTCGTTGTTTATTTATGTGAGGTTTTGGTTTATTTGTTCCCAGTTTATTAGTTTGTTATTAAAACTGAATTTGCAGAATTCTCTCCTCATCTTGGATGCGAGACTGGCAGTACAGGTCAGTTGTCCATACGTGACTGAACTTGCGTTATGATCTGAATAACATATATTTGTAATCATTAGCTTTCTAGCTTTCTGACATCATTGTGAAAATATGCTCTGGGGTATTTTCTTTCCTATTGGTTCCCCTATTAATGCAAATCTGTCGCCCATTCCTAATAGGTCATTTGTGTGTGACTGTTCATTTTGACTGGTTTCTGGGATTCTATTTGGTATAACTGCATTTACCATATTTTCCAATTTAAGCTGAAGTCACCAAACAAGATGATGTTTGGGGCAGGGGTTTGAGGTTTTCTAAGTAGCATTTGATTTCATTATTCTTTCAACTGCTGGTGATTTGCATCTGGGGAATTTATTATTAGGCTTTGTATAATATTGGGATTCTTATTTAAACTGGTCCCTTCTGGTATGCCCATTAAATTTTTCCAATATATAAAACGTCTATCGGAACAGAAAAGAGAGAGAGAGAGAGAGAGTGAGAGAGAGAGAGAGAGAGAGAGAGAGAGAGAGAGAGAGAGAGAGAGAGAGAGAGAGAGAGAGAGAGAGAGAGAGAGAGAGAGAGAGAGAGAGAGAGAGAGAGAGAGAGAGAGAGAGAGAGAGAGAGAGAGAGAGAGAGGAGAGAGAGAGAGAGAGAGAGGGAGAGAGAGAGAGAATTATTTTCACACCAAGCAGAATATAAAACAATTAAATTTGTTAAGATTTAAACATTATTAATACATTCCCCTTCAATTACATTATAGTACAGAGCGCATCTTCTCTAACAATCAGCCAGTTCTAGCGCTGAGAAAACTATTGATTTCTAATACTGTTAATTTCTTCACACCATTTTACCAAGAAAGTTGAGTTTCCTGCGCATGTGCGACTCTCTGAGACGTCATTGGTCGCTTGCGTTTTAGTCAACAAATGGCGATAGCACGTTTTGTACACTTCACACAAAGTACATTATTTCGTTTTAATTAGAAATAATTTTTATAGGTATGTTGTCAAAATAAAACTCATGTTATATCTCTTTTTAATACGATATAATAGGTTAGTATTTCCTTAATTTGACAATTCGAGAAAAGTACTTACACCATTAGTTGTGAGTCGTGTGTAAAGTATTTTCATTCATAAGCAGTGGGGATGGTGGCGGGATTATCTTGAGATGATTTCGGGGCTTTAGTGTCCCCGCGGCCCGGTCCTAGACCAGGCCTCCACCCCCAGGAAGCAGCCCGTGACAGCTGACTAACTCCCAGGTACCTATTTACTGCTAGGTAACAGGGGCACTTAGGGTGAAAGAAACTTTGCCTATTTGTTTCTGCCTCGTGCGGGAATCGAACCCGCGCCACAGAATTACGAGTCCTGCGCGCTATCCACCAGGCTACGAGGCCCCCCTTTATTAACGAGCATTAACGAGGGATTAACGAGCATTTGGCCTTTGTTGATGAGGACGGGTTGTTATACACTGTGATGGCAGGTCATTTACGTCCTATCAACCTTGGGAATATTAACGTGGTCACCATTTTTGCATACTAATCCCAGCTGACATAGAATTAATTTATCCTGGCCGTAGACAAATGCTAAAGTAATCTCTGTATTTTGTAAAGTAGAAGATCCTGGTACTGTCACTTTCCTCAAATCGAATCGAATAATACAGATGGCCATGAGGCGAGCCTTGAAGTGGGGACAGCTGAAGAGAAAGTGCCAGGGCTTGACCCAGGCTGTGACTCGTACGTCAGGCTACGAGCAGCCGCGTCCAACAGCCTGGTTGATCAGTCCGGCAACCAGGAGGCCTGGTCGACGACCGGGCCGCGGGGACGCTAAGCCCCGGAACCACCTCAAGGTAACCTCAAGGTAGGTAAGGTAGCTGCGTGTCAATATGTCGATGCTGTAAACAACATAACCAACGAGCACGCTCTAAATCTAAGCTTTCTCTAAGTAACAGGCGACTGAGGACTTGCCGTTGAGATTGTCTCCGTTGACGTATGGATGGCTAGCATTTGGGGTTCCCCCTTTTGTTAGGAAGGTCAGACCCGTCACTCTGGACAACTTTGGCTTTCCTCGTCTCCTCTTCCCTCAGGTCTTATTAACAAGTCTGGCATGAGTGTAGTTTCACTCTGTCTCTCTATTCTCTTCTCTTCCTCTACCCGCTCCCCCCCCCCTTTCATAGAGAGAATGGATTGAATTTTCATCGTTGGATGACTAAAGTAATTCCGGCCATTAGAAACCTCTACAGAGGTTTCTATTGGGCAGGACTTGGAAGACATGATTGATACATTCAAATGGATGAAAGGCGACAACGAGGATGATATTAATATTCTTAAAAATAAATAAGTCGAAATAGAACGTGAAAGAATTGGTTTTAAATGAAAAAGGATAGATTTAGAAAATGAAATAGACTCTAGTTTGTAAACAGGGTACGGGATTTATGGAACAAATGGACAAATTCTGGGAACCTTTGGCAAGCCGCTGGCTTGCTGTCCTCGTCGGAGCCTCTAGAGTGTTAGTGGCCCTCGGGTAAATTCAGGTAAATAAAATAATAATAACTTATCCTTCAAAGAAAACCGAATATATTAAAGGTGCACTATTATGAATGGAAAACTGAACCTTGGGAACGTTCATGCTCAAAACAACATCAATCATCCAATCATTCAGTCACAATTACTAAGTTTCCCCGCGAGCGAGACAGGTGATGTAGCAGTGGCTCGTTCCTTGTCTGGCTCCTCATTAACAATTCAGCAGTGACGGAGGACACTTGACGTCTGACAATTGATTGATGTAACTGTCGCAGTTAGAGTTTATTTTGTTTCTTGTTTACATGTGTGTTGAATTGTGGGTATTGATCTTTGTGTATATTATGCGTGTGTGTGTGTGTGCTTCTGAGTGTGCGTGTGTGTGAGCATACATAGGCGTGTGTGTGTGTGTGCATTTTTTCTATTTGTGCTTGCAGGATCAAGCTTTTCAAGCTTGGACCCCGCCTTTCCAGCCGTCGAATGTCTAATGTTATGACTCTCGACCTATTGTTTTGATTATATCTACTAGTCCAACTACTGACCATCTCCAGGATGCAGAACACTATAGTTGTCTAACTCCAAGTTACCTATATTTACTGCTAGATAAATAGACGCATTAGCTGAAAGGAAACGTTGGCCAAACGCTTCTACCCTGCCGCGGGAATCGAACTCGCGATCCTCGGTTGTGAGCCGACGACGTAGCCCACTGCGTGTTTTGTGTACAGGGTTCCATAATAGGGTATCGGATTCTCACGATAGGGAATCTAGACGCCATAATTAGGTATCGGGGTCCTATGTTGGGGTATCGGAGTACCATGATAGGGTATTAGGGTTCTATGATGGGTCAATAGAGTTCAGTTTGTTGTTAGGCTTTAAAACCTATCAAACACGGGAATGTTATTAAAGTCCAAACATAGTTCAGGCTTTGTGTATGTACACAGAGAAATGTTGCATATCTCTAGTTGCATCCTTCATCAACAAATTAAATTATACAAGGAAAACATATAGAACACATAACCAGTTCATGATATAAATATATAACAAATTATATAAATATGTATTTCGAGTTACGTTTAAGGCCAGTCCAGACCAACAAATGAAACGTACGGACTTTTATTTTATTAATTTATACAAAATAAATATAGCAAACAAACATCAACTAGCAATGACAACAGAGGTTTATTGACCTCGCTTAAACGCCTATTTTCTGGCTTCGTTTTCTTTTATTTTCAAGGCAGACCTGCGCAAGACGCCCTTATGCCGCAAAACCGTTTCTCTGTCTAACGCCGGTGCTCCGTGAAGAAAGGGAAGGATAGAGGTATGTTCCTTTAGCCGTGGAGCAGCGCTAGGATGGAATAGACGCCGCTCTGTGGGATGGAATGAAAGGGTTAACGGGGTGGAATGGAACGGGGCGAGGGTTGCGGAATGAAAAGGAGTGCCGGTTATGTGAAAAGGACGAGGAGAGGATGTTGGCGGTCCTAAACTGGGCAGAAAAGGTCCTTGATCGTCTTGTTCATCAAAAATGGAGTTGGTAATAGGAGAGTGGCTTGTGTGATGGGTTACCGGGGACCCATGATGGGGTACTGAGAACCTGTGGTGGTGTATAGGGGTACCATGATGGGGTATTAGGGTTTTATGATGGTGAATCGGGGACCCCTGGTGCGATAATGGGGACCCATGATGGGATATCAGGCTTCCGTGGTGGGGTATTGGGGTGCCATGATGGGGTATTGAGGTACTATGATAGGGTATTGGAGTACCATGATGGAAAGTAGTAACATGATGAAGGGGTATTTGAGAACCATGGATTGGGGCTAAAGTGCCACCATGAGGGGCAAAAGAAGTATGATGGGGTGATGGGAGACCATGAACAGGAGCCACGGTCTGATGATGGTGTGTCGGCGTGCCATGATGGGGCTTTGGAGTGCCGTGATGGGGTAGTAGAGTACCATGAATTGGAGCCAAAGGGCCATGATGGGGTACAGCAATGCCATGATGGGGTACTGGTGTGGTGCTATGATGGGATTTCTGGGTAGCATGATGGGAAGGTAATGTACTGTGAATGGGGGTCGGGGTGCCATGAAATAGTTCCAGTGTACCCCGATGGGGCGATAGATTTCGATGATGGGACGATAGAGTTCCATGATGGGGCGATAGAGTTCCATGAGCGGGGGACAGAGTTCCGTGATGGGAAGCTAGAGTGCTGTGATGGGGTGTAAATGAGCCATGGTGTGGCAGAGTACCATGTGCCGTTGTTCCATGTTCGTGTGTCAGACTTTGATGATGGGGTAAAGGACTACCATGATGGGATGTAGGACTCTCATGATGAGCCCTAGGACTGCCATGATGGGGAGGAAGACTAAAATGGTGAAGGTTTGTCAGAGCACCATGATGGGACGATGATTGAGTCCTATGAAGAGGAGCCAAAGTGTCATGGTGAAAAGGAACGGGAGTACCATGATGTGATATGTGTGTTCCGAGATGGGGTGTCGGAGTAGTCTGATGGGCAGCTGGGCTGAAGCGATGAGGTACAGCATCATTGTGATGGGAATCTGGGCTGGTTAGGTGGGTGAAGGAACCCAAACCCTGAGGAAGGGAACTGGAGTCGAAGTCGGTGAAACCAGCACTGAAGAGGTCCTTCGCTGGGACGAAGAGTGAGAAACCGGAATGTGGACTTCGCGCGAAGTCCGCGCCATCTATGGACGAGTCCTGGTGGGGATGGACGGGATTGAAGTTGACACCGGGGCGTAGTTGGTGAACTGGTGCAAGGGTAGAGTGGATAGGGGTAGAGTGGATGGGAGATGGGAGACTATGGTCAAAGGCCCCGTGGACCGTAGGGTGATGTGAATGGTGGATCTCCTCCTGGAAAGTCTGATCTAACTTGATCGCCTTTGGCCTCGGACGAACCGGTTTGGGTCTGCGATGAACCGACACCGGGTTCGATAAAAGAGAATTCAGGTGCTGGTTAACCTCGTGTGAGAACTGGTTGACTGCGTTAGGGTGATGGTGAATGGGTTGTTCATGCCCCTGCAGAAGCGGGTGACCTGAAGATGTCAACGGATGACCGTGAGTTAAAAGCGGATGAATACCTTGCAGAGGCTGGTGGGTGAGAAACAATGACGGATGAGTCGTATGTATGGGAGCGTGAGTTGGATGCTGAGGCAAGTGAGACGTGTGCGCTGGTGAGTGAGTCTGATGAATAGAACGGTGAGTCTGAGCCTCCGACGAATGAGTCGGAGGCTGAGCTGCTGCTGTCGCAGCCGTCGAAGCCTTAGGAGGGTCGTCCGGGTGCACTGCGACGCCCTCGTACGTCACGTCAGCCTTGTATCCGTTCTCGTCGGCTGTGTAGGTGACGATCTGCGTTCGTCCGTCCGGCAGAGCCACTCGGTACTCCCCCGAGGTGGAGCTGTCGTCCTTCTTCTGTTGATGGGCGAAGCTGTTGCCAGTCTTGTCGTCGTGGACGCCGTAAGAGAAGAGGAACCCTGGGGGAGCGACCTGTGGCTGTGGGAATACATTAGTTCTAGTTATTTGGACGAAGCTAGTTAATAACTGATGCAGTTCTAGTTATTTTAGCGAAGCTAGTTGGCAATTAGTGCAGTTCTAGCTATTTTAACGAAGCTTGGTGGTAATCAATGCAGTTTTGTATAAGGTACTCAGATATCAAACTAAGGAATGACATTTATTTTTACGTGAGTTTACCTGAGAGCCACTAACACTAGTGACCTCAACGAGGACAGGAAGCCGGCGGCTTGTCGAAGGACCCCCATATTTGCCTTGAAGATCTTTTTTCCAGCGGTACTTTAAGAACAGCATCTCCTGAGAACACTAAACTACTGTCTGTGATCCTGCTACAGGTCATATGTAGAGAGATGAGATCAGGGAAAAGCAACAGAAGGCTCTCTTCCCAATCTCCACTCCCTCCAGCCTTCACTACGGGCTCAAATGAGAACTGAATATAAAATAGAAATTTAATACGAGGAGGAATACTGAGCTACAACTTACCAGCAATATAGCAAACCTTTCCTACTGCCATGACCAGTGTCTGGCCTTCCTCAGAGAAAAGAGTTTCAGGGGATATATATATATATATATATATATATATATATATATATATATATATATATATATATATATATATATATATATATATATATATATATATAAATATATATATATATATATATATATATATGTCGTACCTAGTAGCCAGAACGCACTTCTCAGCCTACTATGCAAGGCCCGATTTGCCTAATAAGCCAAGTTTTCATGAATTAATTGTTTTTCGACTACCTAACCTACCTAACCTAACCTAACCTAACTTTTTCGGCTATGTAACCAAACCTAACCTATAAAGATAGGTTAGGTTAGGTTAGGTAGGGTTGGTTAGGTTTGGTCATATATCTACGTTAATTTTAACTCCAATAAAAAAAATTGACTTCGTACATAATGAAATGGATAGCTTTATCATTTCATAAGAAAAAAATTAGAAAAAATATATTTATTCTGGAAAACTTGGCTTATTAGGCAAATCGGGCCTTGCATAGTAGGCCAAAAAGTGAGTTCTGGCTACTAGGTACGACATATATATATATATATATATATATATATATATATATATATATATATATATATATATATATATATATATATATAGATCTTTCCACCGGTTTACTAAGTGTGATATGTTGTTACATTAGTATTAAGTGTTGAGACCATTCAAGCTTTACATAACATATAAGTCCAGATTGAGAGAGAGAGAGAGAGAGAGACAGAGAGAGAGATAGAGAGAGAGAGAGAGAGAGAGAGAGAGAGAGAGAGAGAGAGAGAGAGAGAGAGACAGAGAGAGAGCGAGAGAGATAGAGAGAGATAGACAGAGAGAGAGAGAGAGAGACAGAGAGAGACACTCACCCCTGGGCTGGTGGCTCCCATAGCTGTGACCTCAGCCAGTAGACACAACAGTAAGGACACCTGTAAACAATACAACACATATACAATACAATACAATACAACACATTACCACAACAATATCAACAACACAAATATTATACTTCCACTAAATATTAATTCTACTATTACTACAGCTTCACGATACATCATAAAGCAGTGGATATAATTTTGATAAGTTTAGATTCAGGAATGACCTGGGTAAATACTGGCTTGGAAACCGGGATTGTTGATTTTCGAGTTGATGGGAGTGTCTCAGGCCAGTCGGGTCGCTCCCCTAGTGCTAAACTTTAAGAAATATCGACATCCAACGACCCATGCAATTTTCTCGCTCTAATCTGAAATGTTGGTTGTGTTGTCCGTAGATTTACTTGATAATTTAAGTTGTTTGTGTACATTTTCTGACAGCAAGTGGGGGGGGGGTGGGGGTGGGTGAGAGAGGGTTTACATTTAGCAAACAATTTATAAGCTCCAAAGTACTATGAGGTTGTATATTACAATAATAACCCTTGTGTTATAATGCTTCGAAGCTCATAAATCGTTTAATAAGTGTAAACACAGCCTCTTTATTGTTGGAAAGATGTACTGGTTTCGTAAGAGGATTTGTAAAGGCTTGACGAATCCTGGCTCTGTATTGCAGCAATCTTCTGGATATTCGCTATGCTTGCTCTGCATTTTTTATCCAAAGATTCCGGACTTAAGCTGCATGTTCTAGTTATGGTCTGACGTACGTAGTGTACAACATCCTAAAAGCCTTCTTGTCCTGGTTTCTGAAAGCTTCAGAGACATTCTCCAACTGAGAGCGTTTGGTTCACCAGTTCTGTCCCTCGCTGGTGGACGGCAGCTTGGTGGTGGTGGTGGTGATGGTGGTAGTAGTAGTACTAGAAGTACTAGTAGTACTAGTAGTACTAGTAGTACTAGTAGTACTAGTAGGCGGGGCCTCCCGGCACATCTGGCAACCTCCCATTCACTCCACCTGACTGGCTCAAATACACTCAACTGTGGCATTCCTTCTTTGTCTGTCTGTCTGTCTGTCTGTCTGTCTGTCTGTCTGTCTGTCTGTCTGTCTGTCTGTCTGTCTGTCTGTCTGTCTGTCTGTCTGTCTGTCTCTCTCTCTCTCTCTCTCTCTCTCTCTCTCTCTCTCTCTCTCTCTCTCTCTCTCTCTCTCTCTCTCTCTCTCTCTCTCTCTCTCTCTCTCTCTCTCTCTCTCTCTCTCTCTCTCTCTCTCTCTCTCTCTCTCTCTCTCTCTCTCTCTCTCTCTCTCTCTCTCTCTCTCTCTCTCTCTCTCTCTCTCTCTCTCTCTCTCTCTCTCTCTCTCTCTCTCTCTCTCTCTCTCTCTCTCTCTCTCTCTCTCTCTCTCTCTCTCTCTCTCTCTCTCTCTCTCTCTCTCTCTCTCTCTCTCTCTCTCTCTCTCTCTCTCTCTCTCTCTCTCTCTCTCTCTCTCTCTCTCGTCTCCTCTCCTTCTCTCTCCTATCAATCTCTCCTCTCTCTCTCTACTCTCGCCTCTCTCTCGTCTCTCATCTCTCTCATCCTCTCTCTCTCCCTCATTCTCTCGTCTCTCCTCTCTCTCTCTCTCTCTCTCTCTCTCTCTCTCTCTCTCTCTCTCTCTCTCTCTCTTTACACTCAACCCGTAAAAACACACCTAAGGATCTCCTTTTATGTGAGAATATTGCCCCTCGTGATAATCATTAGTTCTTTTCAATTATTTATGATATATAATTAATACTTTTGTATATAGAAATCTAGCTTCTTGTTAATCATTCATTTTCTTGTGTTAAGTCATTCATTTTCTTGTGTTAAGTCATTCATTTTCTTTTGTCAAGTCACTCCTTTTCTTGTGTCAAGTCATTCATTTTCTTTTAACAAACATTCGTTTTCTTTTGAAAATCATTATTTTTGTTTAAATCATTAGTTTTCGGTTGAAAATCATTAGTGTGCTATAGTTACCCCTTATGTCTATGACAGTCACTCGGAAAATGACAAAATATATATAATGATTCATCATATTCCTTTAGGCTTCCTTGTGGTGTTATGCTCGATTTAAAAATTCCTTGATATTGTGGGCTTGTATTTTTTGTAACCATTGTTATATAGTGTTACTAAGCGTCGTATGGATACCATGTGGGTTACTACGGGCTCACCATAGCCCGTGCTACTTGGAACTTTTTGTTCCAGGTAGCGAATCTTAAACAACAACAACAACAACAATGTAGGAGGGGCTGTTACCATGTGGGTTAACGACTATAGGTTATCTCCTTTATGTTATCTCCATGCTATCTTCACGTTAAAGAGAGTGTGAACTGAATACCCACGAGTCAGGAGGGAAGCTGAGAGACAATCTGAGAAACAACATTGCATTGAAAGCTAAGCACCAACCAAAGCTGTTCTATTGCCTAATAAGCAGAAAAAACAACAGTAAGAGACCACTTAGTCAAGTTAAAAAGACAAGATAGAATGCTCACAGAAAACAACAAGGAGGTATGTGAAGAATTCAACAAAAGATTTCAGGAAATCTTTTCAGAAGTACCACCGTGGAGACCAGTGTTGCAAGATGAAAAGCTAGAGGAAACACTGGATGGCACGACAGTCACGGTGGAAGCGGTTAAGCAACACTTGGAAGAACTAGAGGCAACAGAATTCATAGGATCAGAATGAATGTCATCCTCGCTGCTGAAGGAGGCTGTTGTGGTACTTTGTCACCCGCTAACTGATGTCTTTAATAAAACACTCGAAACAGGAAATCGTTATCTTAAAATACTAAGTAGGTTAGGTAAGGTCGGTGTTTTCTATGAAGCTTTTCAAGGAAAACTATTATGTTAAGTATGTCACCTATGCACATATTTAATAAGTCAATATTGACTTATTAAATTTGCGAGAACGGGTTGCCAACCCGGTCTCGCAAATTCGTAAAGTCAATATTGACTTATTAACTACGTGCATAGGTGATATACTAAACATAATAGATACCCTTAAAAAGATTCATAGAAAACACCGACCTTACCTAACCTTGTTAGTATCCTAAGATAAGCATCTTATTGCTTCGTAATTACAATTATTACTTAACCTATACCTATTATAGATTAGGTAATAATTGTAATTATAAAGCAATAAGATGCTTATCTTAACATACTAAGTAGGTTAGGTAAGGTCGGTGTTTTCTATGAAGCTTTTCAAGGAAAACTATTATGTTAAGTATGTCACCTATGCACATATTTAATAAGTCAATATTGACTTATTAAATTTGCGAGAACGGGTTGGAAATCTATCTCCATGGCTCCATATTAATGACCATGATTGTATCCTATCTCCATGACTAACCACTATATATATCCATGACTACACACAATCTCTATTATTGCACGCTATTTCTATGATTGCACGCTATTTCCACGATCCTTTTGTGACCCCTTTGTTGATGCCGGATTGATATCTAGATATCCAAGTTATTGACAATGTTATCCTGGAATCGAAACGTGTTATTATTCAATCCAGACCTTTGCTGATTTGAATCATTTATCTAAACGTTGACAAAGTTTTCCCAGATCCTTATTAGTGATGTTATTCACTTATAGAAATTATAATATTATCCAAATGTCAGATAATGTTAGGCCTATTTAATTTTCCCGTTGATGGGGTACAGGAAGTCTGTTAGTCTTATGGAGGTTTTCCTAGGCTAAGGATGCAATCCACAACAGTTGAGTAACTCCTGGGTACGTATTTTTTGCTAGGTGAACAGAGGCATCAGGCGAAAAGATACAGTGTCTAAACGTCTTGTTCTGTCCAGGAATCGCACCCGGGTCCAGTCTTTTGTGAGCCGATATATGAAGGTCTCCTTTGGGGCAAGAAATATTTAAAATGGGCCAATTTTTTTTTTCATGGAGGAGGCGTTTGGAGCTTTCAAAGTCATGGACCAACAGTCTTATTATTCCCATTCCTAAACCTCACCAGCAGAGTGCTTTTCGCCCAATCTCCCTCACTAGTTGTCTATGTAAGTGTCTTGAGAGGATGGTTCTCAACCGCCTCCTTTACAGAATTAGTAACATGTTGTCTCCCCAGATATATGGCTTTACGCATGGAAAGAGTGTACATCACTGTATTACCACATTCCTCACCCTGCATACTGATAGGTCATATACCACTTTCCTAGATCTTAAGTCAGCCTTTGACATTGCTAACCCACACGTCATTCTGAGCGAACTTGTTAAAATGAATGTTGGAGGATGGCTATTACGGTGGATAAGAGGCTATCTATCCAACAGGAAGTCATCTGTACTGTTCCAAGGGCATAGGAGTGTAACGAGAGATTTTGAACTTGGCACTCCACAGGGAGGTGTCCTCAGTCCTACTCTGTTCAATGTGTTAATCAATGCACTTGTAAACTCAGTAACTAGGAGGCCCAGCGAACACATCATTAGCTACGCGGATGATATACTGATCCACACCAATGGGTATACCAACACCCAAAATGTTCTGAACTCTGTATTACACACATGTCAGGAACTAGGTTTGGTCATCTCAGAAGAGAAAACAAAGATCCTGAACCGACGCCCACCCAGACGAGGTGCGGCCTTTCGCAAAATGCAGTTGGATGATGGCTCTCTGCTCGACTATGTAACCAGATACAAATACCTTGGTCTTGAAGTTCCACTATACCGCAATGTTGTAGCCAGACTGGGTCACCAATGTAAAGAGAGGCTCCGTGCTCTCAAGGCTGTGGCAGGCTACCATCCAAGCTATGGTGCAAATGTGAGAATTGTCAAAATGATGTATCTCTCGTATATTAGGTCTCTGATTGATTATGCTACACCCATGCTTGCTCTAGTGCCTGAGAGAATGCTTGGAGGGCTGGAAAAGATGCAAAACGAAGCCATGAGGATTATCCTCGGATGCCCCCGTACAACTAAATTACTAAACATGGGGAAGGAACTGAATATTTCTTGTGTAAGTGATCGTATCACTGAAATTAATGCTTTAATTGGTATCAAGATGCTTAGGCTAACCCACCCTAACCCCTGCACTGAAGCCCTCCAAGCCTTCTTCCTTGAAGGTCAGCATCCCTCCAAATGGATTACCGTAACTGCCAATGTTCTCAGAATGTATAACTTTCATCACCTCCACCAAGAGACAACAACACTTTCCTGCCCCATGGCAGATCACTCCTTTCCAAATTACTGTCCCCCTTTCCCACCCAAGGAGCTGATTAAAGAACAAGCCTTGCTTCGACAAGAAGCAAAGTACAATGCCTTAAGCCAAATTGATGCTTTAGTCAGAGAGCGCTGCCTTTCCCAGATTATTTACACTGATGGATCCTTGCATCAGTCCCATGGTGCAGCTGGAAGTGCAGTTGTTGTGACAGGGAGAGATGGTTCCTTCTCCCATGAGTGTTGAGCACGTATAAGTAACTGGGCCTCCACTCTTCAAACAGAATTGGTTGCCATAATCCTTGCACTCGAGCGCGTATATGAATCCAAAGTTGACACGTTAATTCTAAGTGACTCCTTGTCATCCTTGACTGCCCTCAGTTCCCTAAGGCATAACTGTGACGTGCTTATCTCTAAAGCTAGACACAGATATGAGGAAATAATCAATGATGGATTCAGAGTTTGTCTTCTGTGGATTCCTTCCTATATTGGTCTTCGAATGCATGATAGAACTAATGAGTTGGCCAAGACTTTTGCTCATAAAGAGGGAATTGACTACCATCTTGGACTTCCTTTGAGCAGCCTGAGGGCAGTAATACTCCGGGAACATCAACAAAATCTCGTAGACTTGAGGCAAAATGAAATTCACACCAGTTGTTCCATCTATCATCATTCTATTATGCAGGAAGAACCGCACGTCTATGGGTCATCCAGTAAGGTTAGAAGACTTCTATATGTTACCACTGCTAGGCTTAGGCTCGGCTACAAGTACCTTTGGCAGTTTGTAACATCTACTGGTGTAGATTTGACTAAATGTAAACTCTGTCAGCAGAACTATTCGCATACTTTGCGTCATTATATAATGGAATGTGAAAAAAAATCATGGAATTCAGAGATAACACCATCAATGGTGTCCAAGAAATGTGTAAGTACTTCATTCATAATGATGTACTGCCGGGAATCTTAGCGAAGTATCCAAAATTTGCTTACTGTAAGTAATGCATGCACATGACTGTAAAGCTGCCGCCCAGTTGGGTGGGTGTGGAGCACATGACTGTAAAGCTGCCGCCCAGTTGGGTGGGTATGGCGCACATGACTGTAAAGCTGCCGCCCAGTTGGGTGGGTGTGGAGCACATGACTGTAAAGCTGCCGCCCAGTTGGGTGGGTGTGCAGCACATGACTGTAAAGTTGCCGCCCAGTTGGGTGGGTGTGGAGCACTTGACTGTAAAGTTGCCGCCCAGTTGGGTGGGTGTGAAGCACATGACTGTAAAGCTGCCGCCCAGTTAGGTGGGTGTGGAGCACTTGACTGTAAAGTTGCCGCCCAGTTGGGTGGGTGTGAAGCACATGACTGTAAAGCTGCCGCCCAGTTGGGTGGGTGTGGAGCACATGACTGTAAAGCTGCCGCCCAGTTGGGTGGGTGGGGTGACTGTAAAGCTGCCGCACATGACATGACTAAAGCTGCCGCCCAGTTGGGTGGGTGTGGAGCACATGACTGTAAGTTGCCGCCCAGTTGGGTGGGTGTGGAACACATGACTGTAAAGCTGCTGCCAAGTTGGGTGGGTGTGGAGCACATGACTGTAAAGCTGCCGCCCAGTTGGGTGGGTGTGGAGCACATGACTGTAAAGCTGCCGCCCAGTTGGGGGTGTGGAGCACATGACTGTAAAGCTGTCGCCCAGTTGGGTGGGTGTGGAGCACATGACTGTAAAGCTGCCGCCCAGTTGGGTGGGTGTGGAGCACATGACTGTAAAGCTGTCGCCCAGTTGGGTGGGTGTGGAACACATGACTGTACAGCTGCCGCCCAGTTGGGTGGTTGTGGAGCACATGACTGTACAGCTGCCGCCCAGTTGGGTGGGTGTGGAGCACATGACTGTACAGCTGCCGCCCAGTTGGGTGGGTGTGGAGCACATGACTGTAAAGCTGTCGCCCAGTTGGGTGGGTGTGGAGCACATGACTGTAAAGCTGCCGCCCAGTTGGGTGGGTGTGGAGCAAGACTAGTAACTGTGTGACTCACCATAGATGTAAAGTGCCTTGTATAGTGACTGTTGTGAGCCTCTTGTTGAATATCTCCTGATATACAAAGATTATCGATATGTATGTATTTGTATAGATGATTGTATATATAGGTACATGTGTATAACATTAACAATTGTGTAGCTAGCTTCACAAGATTATCACTTGCTTAGCTAAACTAACTCTAGGGTTCAGTTCCTGAACCTATTATGTGCCTCTGTAACCCTTTCCTCCATCGCCCACGAGATAGGTATGAAGTGCATAACAAAAAAAATAAATAAAAAATAGTTTTCGTTTGTTCTAGGTGTTATTGTTTGTCCTCACGTTGTTAAGCTTAATTCTACATAAGTTTGATGGTAATTTCTTGAGTCCGCCGTTCTTTTCTGTTTAAACATCAGCGCATATACTGTTTTCTTTTTCAAGGAGTAAAGTCTCTAAACTAAAGTTTAGCGGCATCCGGATCCATCACCAACTTTACACTAAAACGCAAATTCGATAAAGCATGAAAAACCCTTGCCCAACCACACGCAACACCTCGATTGTCTAATCACCACGCGATTCATCAACTTTCTACTCCATTTCCACCTTTCCCTTGTCAAACGCCAGATACATCCAGTTATTATTTCCCTGTTGCAGTTTGGGTCGGTGGCGCGCGACGCGGTGATCAAGGGAGGCGATGGTGGAGAACTGCACTGGCATACCTGAGGTGACATGGCTGGCCTGTGTGGTGCTCCCTCCAGCCCTCCTGTGACACTACTGACGCTCCACGCCATCTACACCTTCCTTATATAGCTTCGGTGGCGTCACATATGGTGGTTATTGGGTTCTTCTCTGTTTCTCGATTCTCTCCCAATTTTCTCTCTCTCAGCCTTTGTACACTTGAAATAATTCCGGGTTGTGCTACATATAAACACACGCGGAGTTCATTGTCACCTTAAAGGAGACGAGTTCTGTCTCTGCTCTCAACACCAGTTCATTAAGAATCATTAAACACAAACAAATGGCTCAAAAATACATTTGCATATGTATCACTATCTCTTTGCGGAACTGAGTATACTGTTAGGAGATATATTCCAGTATTACACCTGCTCTATTCCGTATATTCATGCATTTTTTTTGCTGTAGATGTCTAGTAATCATGACGAAGATTTTTCTAGTATTCTGAAGTCGCAATTTTAACATTCTCCAGCTGATATCTGGTAACTCTTCTAGCATGTTAAGGCTCAGTGCAGTAGGGTTAGTTCTCGATTCACAATCGGGGATCCCATGTTCGATTCCCGGGCGGAGCAGAAATGTTTGGGCGCGTATCCTTTCACCTGATGTCTCTGTTCACCTCGCAGTACATATAGGTACCCAGGAGTTAAGTAACTGTTGTGGGGGTTACTTCCCGGGAGGAGAGTCAGTAATTGAACCTTGCGGGAAAGACTATATAACCTCATGTAAATACATACACAGGCTTCATGTCCCCGACAAAACGAATTAAAACCATTTTACATTATTTATTTATTTATTTATTTATATACAAGAAGGTACACTGGGTTTGTGAGAATACATAGCATAGTATTTACAATCTTGTAAAGCCACTAGTACGCGCAGCGTTTCGGGCAGGATAAACTGTATTGCCATTATTAAACTATTATTATTAAAAAGTTAAAAGTTATCATTATTAAAAGTGTTGCCATTATTAAACTGTATTTGTAAATTTATTTTTTCCGGTTAAAAACGTTTTCCTAGATCATCTTGATGTGGTTTAGTGTCCTCTAACGAGTTGATTTCCCGGCTAAATTTCGTATCATCTGAAAATCTGTAAACATTGCTTCTCAGTCCTGAATCTAAATCGTTTATGTTTATAGTAAACAAAAGAGGTCCCAGGACAGAGTTCTGGGACCTCTGAGTTAGAGTTCAATGTGTCGCAAATCTCTGTTCTGTCAACTGCTAATGTTGCCATACTCTGCCAGAGGCTGGTGTTGCCATACTCTGCTAGAGGCCGGTGTTGCCATACTCTGCTAGTGACTGGTGTTGCCATACTCTGCTAGAGACTGGTGTTGCCATACTCTGCTAGAGGCCGGTGTTGCCATACTCTGCCAGAGGCTGGTGTTGCCATACTCTGCTAGAGGCCGGTGTTGCCATACTCTGCTAGAGGCCGGTGTTGCCATACTCTGCTAGAGACTGGTGTTGCCATACTCTGCTAGAGGCCGGTGTTGCCATACTCTGCCAGAGGCTGGTGTTGCCATACTCTGCTAGTGACTGGTGTTGCCATACTCTGCTAGAGACTGGTGTTGCCATACTCTGCTAGAGGCTGGTGTTGCCATACTCTGCTAGAGGCTGGTGTTGCCATACTCTGCTAGAGGCTGGTGTTGCCACACTCTGCCAGAGACTGGTGTTGCCATATTCTGCTAGTGACTGGTGTTGCCATACTCTGCTAGTGACTGGTGTTGCCATACTCTGCCAGAGGCTGGTGTTGCCATACTCTGCTAGAGACTGGTGTTGCCATACTCTGCTAGTGACTGGTGTTACCATACTCTGCTAGAGACTGGTGTTGCCATACTCTGCTAGAGACTGGTGTTGCCATACTCTGCTAGAGACTGGTGTTGCCATACTCTGCTAGAGACTGGTGTTACCATACTCTGCCAGAGACTGGTGTTGCCATATTCTGCTAGTGACTGGTGTTGCCATACTCTGCTAGTGACTGGTGTTGCCATACTCTGCCAGAGGCTGGTGTTGCCATACTCTGCTAGAGACTGGTGTTGCCATACTCTGCTAGTGACTGTGTTACCATACTCTGCTAGAGACTGGTGTTGCCATACTCTGCTAGAGACTGGTGTTGCCATACTCTGCTAGAGACTGGTGTTGCCATACTCTGCTAGAGACTGGTGTTACCATACTCTGCCAGAGACTGGTGTTGCCATACTCTGCTAGAGACTGGTGTTGCCATACTCTGCTAGAGACTGGTGTTGCCATACTCTGCTAGAGACTGGTGTTGCCATACTCTGCTAGAGACTGGTGTTACCATACTCTGCCAGAGACTGGTGTTGCCATACTCTGCTAGAAGCTTGTGTTGCCATACCCTACCAATGGCTGGTGTGCTTGTGGCATGTGTTGACAAGTGTGCGTACTGGTGATATCTTCAAGTATTCTGCGTGGTTATGACTTCTCTTGACATATCCAGAAAACTTTCCCTTTCCAGTGTCTTCAGGGATCCTTCCCGTGATTCTCTCGGCATCAACACTGCGGTAGACCCTTCCAGCAGCCCCTTCCAGTGACCATTACAGCAGCCTCTTCGGGAGACCCTTCCAGCAGCCTCTTCCAGTGATCATTCCAGCATGTGTTCCATCAGACACTCGACAGACCGCCCAAGCATCCCTCCAGTACCAAGATCTGGCCTCCAGTACCAAGATCTGGCCTCCAGTACCAAGATCTGGCCTCCAGTACCAAGATCTGGCCTCCAGTACCAAGATCTGGCCTCCAGTACCAAGATCTGGCCTCCAGTACCAAAATCTGGCCTCCAGTACTAAGATCTGGCCTCCAGTACCAAGATCTGGCCTCCAGTACCAAGATCTGGCCTCCAGTACCAAGATCTGGCCTCCAGTACCAAGATCTGGCCTCCAGTACCAAGATCTGGCCTCCAGTACCAAGATCTGGCCTCCAGTACCAAGATCTGGCCTCCAGTACCAAGATCTGGCCTCCAGTACCAAGATCTGGCCTCCAGTACCAAGATCTGGTCGCCAGCTTCCACCTGAGACCACAACTGCAACGTATCTCAGGAGAGGAATAAGGAAAGTAGAACGAATAAGGAACGTGAGCTTCGTTCCAGGCATGGATTTGTGTAGTTAATATATATGTGTGTGTGGATTAATTTCTAAGAGTTATTGATAAGCTATCTAACAATATGAAGCTTTATCTTACCCTTGTAAGGTCCTATTTAGATTATGCAGTTCGGTTTAGATTCACCGTATTATATAATGGACCTAAATTCACTTGAACGCATTCATTAAAGAATGATCAAGTTAGTCCCGGGAATTAGAAACCTTCC